ATTGATTTTATAATCGACATGATTCACGGCACAAGCTCTTACATATTTATTTAATGTCAGCGGTGAGCTTGACAGCCAGTTAGCAGTTAGTTTAGTGAGAACACTGATCAGTTGGCAATCAACATGTAAATTTATTCAGAGCGATCGCTATAATCGAGCGCTGCGGTGCTATTAACCTCATTTGTGAGGACATATATATGTTAAGTATCATGCTCTCCTGGTCACTTTGATAGAAATTATATTCATTTATCTTGACAGCCATAGCTCTCTATATTAGGCCTATCTATCCCATGGTTTTTATTAGACATTATCACTGAGCACACTCAAGAATTTAGATAAAATTGTATATATTCAAGATATTTGTATAATGCGGAAAAATCATGGCCAATAATAGACTATCTTAAACCTGTGGCTTTACTCTTGTTCGGGTAGATTTTATCATTTATTTATTTATTTACACAAATCTTGAATACATACAGTGTTTTTTTTTATTTTTATCTTTCTAAAGTTCGTATTACCAGAATATTTTTAAATTATACTTTTAACATAAACCAAAAGGTTTTGATTTTAATTTCAACAAGTATTGTATATAATATATTTGATTTTGAACATGTAAAAATAGTTATGATGTACACGTGAGATGGGTGTTTATAAAATTCGATGATCCCTAACGTCTAAACTAGGCCGAGCCTGTATCTTAGACGTTAGTGTCTTCCCAGGAATTAGGTATAACATAAACAGACATGTGTATTAAATCTTATAACTAAACCTAGGCACACATAGTACAAAGTTGGCAGGACCTCAACACTCGCAGATTTTATGTAAGTATAAAATTATTACTGTACCGTTAATGATCATAGACAATAAGTATGAAATATACATTCAGTTATCATACAAGACTATTTAAACAACAAGAATTAAAATACAATACAGCTACATATGCACGTGCATGCGTTATTCTGTTCTGAGATTAATAAGTAGTACTCACTCGAAATATTGAAATCACACTTTTATTTCAGGCATCTTTCGAGAACAGCACTATTTTTTGGATTGAAGCTACTGTATGTGGTTTTCGTTATACACACGTATACGGTGACGGATTAAGAATACGGAATGTCACCACCCCTATTTATCCCGTGGGTGTCGTAAGAGCCAACTAAGGGAGCAAACTGCGCAGGACAACAGCACAGCAAAAAGAAGGAAACTTGAGACAAACCCTATACCAACTCGTCTGTCCAGTGTGGTATAGTAGGCCAAAACCTCCTTTCTAAGGAGAGGCCTATGTTCAGCAGTGGACTGTTATAGACTGTTAATGTGATGATGATGATGATGTAGTTTTCGGTCATGTGTTTACAAAATTTCACAATCATGGTTTGAATATAAAGAATGAGAATAAAGCAAATAAACAAAGATATTCACATTCCCATTTATACATTTTTATTTCAAATTCTACCAAATAATTCGAAAAACATAACAAAACATGTATGTTTCCACTTACAAAACGTTTTGATATTGAAAATATCTAGATGTCAGATTTGATTGTTTATAAGACGACCACAGAGATACATGTTTTTCGAATTAGGTAAACCTAAACATGGGCAAAAAGTAGCCACAATTTAGCAGCGAAGAAAAAAGTTTTATCTTTATATAAAGTGAAGTAGGGTTGTCCAATTTATTTTTAACTTTTTTCTTTTTGTTCATTAGCATAACTTTATAACAATGTTAAAGGCAGTACTATTGTGATAAGTATATTTAAATATGAAACTGATCATAAACATCAAGTTGTAAATATAAACTTGTTTGGGTCACGATTTATGTGAGTTGTAAATATCACATAATTATATCAATCGAACTTGCCTGTCATGGTTCATACCATGACAGGCAAGAACTTTCGTATGTAATATAAATTTTTTGGTAGATATATTATGTATATTTTTCTACCTTAATTGGTATAAAATACTCTATAGGTGACAGAGAAAAAATAGTTATTTTCATTAGATCATCGGAAAATATAAATGAAAGATGTATCCAAAACAAAATACGTTCGTACGTTGAGTTAACGAATAAAAATTATCGTGGTGTTCAGAGAAATAAAACATAAGATTCAGAACTATTGAAGGGGATTTTTAAAGCCCTTATTTCAAACCCGCTCTTGATAATAACGTATTATACAACAGTTTAAGTACCAGGAGCGCAGACAATGAAAATGGTTACGAGGGTATCGATAACTGTCATAATTGATATAAGCAAATATAGGGGCCTAATGCACCCGGCCATGAACATAGATTTATTATTACCAGATGAGATAAGCCGCTTAACAACAAACGAGTGAAGCAGAAAACCGATGAGATTTCTTTCCACCGCTCTAGACGAATGCGACCATAAAGCGTCGATACGATTACACAGTAATTTATAATTCTTTTTTTTGGAAGCTGTCTTTAAATAATGTAGAAATACCACTAATATAGAAGCGACGAATATGGCTAAGCCACTATCTATGAGGAGAAGTTACGAGATTGATGATATCTGTGATATAGTGGCCTGTTGGTTTCGTGGTTAGTAGAATGCTGATAGCTGAGCCAGAGGTTGTGGGTTCTATTATTACTCAGGATCATTTGCTCTCTGTGTGCATTTAATTTATTTACAACATGTATAGTTATTTAGGACCTACCAACTACCTAGTCTCAAATATAACCTATCTAAAAGATTTACCTATAGTTACTTACTTATAACTTTTACTTACAAGATTTACCTACTTATAACTTTTTGCTTTCATGAACAAACATGACTACAACTAGTAAATAACAAATATCGTTATATTACTTTGTAAACTCATAACTGAAGTATGTTCAAAAGAAGTTTGTACTGTAAATGTACAACAAAGAGCGCTGAGAATTTAAAATAAATACAGCTCGGTAAACACTCGAAATACTCAAAGCACAAAAGATCTTAAGTCACTTTATTTTTAATTTCACTCTTACATTCTGTGCTATTATATTTTGAAGACATTAAGTGGATTAAATCTTTGAACAATGTTACTAAGACTTCAAAATTGATATCTCGTCTTTAATTATCACTCCGAAACTTTTCCAGCTAGGGGCGAACGTTAAATTGATTCCACAGGCACTTCAGAAATTTTTAGTGCTCTCGACAGTGATTAATGAATGGAATTTGGAAGACCGGGATGTGTTCGCAACCCTCGAACGAATAACAAGAAAAGAAGGAGGGAGAATCGCTTAGATTCGTTCAGGGCTGTCAACCGTACATTTGACAAGACATTATTATGTTGTTAATTTGAATAAATGTTTATATTTTTGTGTGGCAAACAAAACTTTTTACTATTGTTCGTGTTACTCATAACATTTGTAGTTTTTACTATTCGTATTTATAATGAAATTAAAATAGAAAACTTGTACAAATATGTTATTATTTTCCAAATATCGTTGTGAAATATGTCCACAACAATAGATTTCTGTTTTTTCAGAAATGTATTGTTGTGACGCAATCACACCAATAATAGTCAAATAATCTCTTTTATATCGTGCTATATTTATTGATCTGTGGGAAACGACGACATTTTTGAACACATTAAACGAGTACATTTTTGTTCACTAATATTTATACTATCAATATTAAACAGTTAAGGCGGATTATAGTAACTTTTGAAAATGGAGCATCAAGCTGTTGTTAGTTTTTAATAAAGTCTTTAAATATTTATCAAACAGCTTCTGCACACGGCTGAGAAAAAAGTAGTTGACAACCTTAGATTCACCCTCTATACATGAATACAGCGCTATAATTTGCGTTCATGCAATAAAATATTGCAAACGCGGTGTTGCTCAAGCAGCTGCCGAGACGGTTTAATGTAACAAACTAACCATCATTAATGTGGTTGATCGTGATGAGTTCATACGAGATGTCGCGGTTTGCATAAATCTTTGGCAATAGCTCCGAGTCACGTCTGCATGAATAATGATGCCTCGCTTAACCATTGTGAAAGAAATTTGTTGGATGCAGGTGTACAGACAGGATTCTCCTCTAGTAATTTATTTATGGAAGACTTGGAAAACGGAGAACTAATGTCGAAATAATCTACCAGTTTTACAGTTTTCTTCATTCAGTAATAACTTGTGGTGACAGTAAATCTTCAATGTTGCAAAACGACTTGGCATTGCAATGTTGCATGTTATTCTCGTTATAATGCTGTTAAAAATTTTAGTTATTTTTTTGCGAAAATTGGACTCGGTATATTATTTGTTACTGCAATTTTAAGTGGAGAAGTCAAGGACTTTCTTTCAGGAAATAGTTATCGGTCCGTTAGATAAACAAATTAAATAAAAGAAAAACAATGTTAAATTATCACCCTTTACTTTTTTTAAAGATTTAATAAAAATCCTAAGCATTCCGAGGTAGGTTCAAATAGATTTAATAAAATTTCTGTAATCTTTTTTTCACTTCTCTTCCTATATTACACTTTGTAAAAATAAATTCTGATCTTTCTCTTAGCACTACGGGCTTTTAGAAAAGCGTTTATGACATGACTCTCCAAGGCGCTTCACCATAGTGCGGCGGCCACAATCGCATTAATTTGCGGAGTGCATCAAGCATTGTGTCGTAGCTGGGGGACGAGGGCGAAGGGAGGGAGCCGCTGGGGTGATTTAATGAACCGATGCGGCAGGCGACAGGCGAGGATTACACCCCACGACCGTTTGCACTCAATCAAGCTCGCAAACAGCCCTAAGCCCGGACAATTAAATACACTGTTCCGAAACAAACGTATACACACGCGATAAGAGCAATCAGGCGATTAGTGAGCGATTACCATTATCAGCGGCTATTGGCTGATCGATATGTTACTGCGAGTCACTTCACCAGTTAAGCAGCTTAGATTTTTGACGAGACGATAATATGTGCCTGTCCTGACTTGTTATTTTATAGGGATTCAAAAGCTTTCATCGATGAACTATAAAACATATCAAGATCTTTATGGAGAAAGTAACTCATCCATTTCCACCACATAACTTTAAATTTATTACTGAAGGGCCATTATCTGAAACATTTTTGATGTCAGATTCTGTAGTGCAATTGGTAATATCATTTCTTACTTCTTCTCTAGTTCCATTCATCTGAAATACAACCAGCAATACAAACCAGCAGGAGTCGAAATTTCGTGTATTTAATAAAAACTCATAATGGAGTACTGTATCTTGTGTTACCGGTACGACCCCTACATTGATATTGATTGTTTCAAGCCTCAATGGTACTTGTAATTATCGTCGTTTAAAATTTATTTAGTTGGATGCGGACAGCACATGTTGTGGAGAGTCTTTGGGGAGGCCTATGTCCAGCAGTGGATGTCTTTCTGCTGAGATGATGATGATGAAATAAATAAGTGATTGAAATACCTTGAGATCTGCTTTTACTTTCTTGGCAGGAGGCTGCGACGAGTGCGTTTCTTGCCGCGAGTCGTCAGGCTCCGGTTTGGTAGGTGTACTTGGGGTGTGCTGCGTATGTTGCGTGTGCAGCGGGGGCGTGGGCGAGGGCGTAGGCGCAGGCGCGGGAGTCGTGGGCGCAGGCGCCGCAGATGCAGGGGGTTTAGGGTCAAGACGCGGCGCAGTCGCCGGTCGCTGTTCAGGTTTAGGAGGCGCAGGCGGTGCTGCCAATGCGGTGGGCATCGGAACAGGCGGCTGCGGCGCGGGCGGACCCGGCGCATTAGGTGGCGGTGGCACTCGTGCCACGCCGTTCACATCGTGAGGCGGGTGCGGATGGTGGTGCTTATCCCGCGCTTTGTCTCTCCGGTGCCCTCCCGATCCCCGCTTGGCTGCGGCGGGCGGCGCGGTCACCGCGGGCACCGACGGCTTCGGCTCTCCGTTCATCTCGTTCGACTTGACGATCTCGTGCTTGGCCTCGGAGCTCTTGGTGCCGGGCTTGGTGCGCTTGATCTTCATCTTGAGCGCGGTGCGCTGCGCGTCAGGTTCGGCGCGCGCCGCCATGCCGCCCGCCTCGTCCGTCTTCTCTATGTCGGCATCGAGGTCTATGATAAGGTCGCCGATGCCGATGTCCCACTCGTTGTCATCGTACTCGAAATTGGCGGGATGCGCGTGGGGCGCGGGGCGAGCTCCGCCGGCCGGCGCGCCCTCCCTCATTGGCGCCGCCATGCGCGCCGGCTCGCCGCGCCCGCCCCCCGCTGCCCCGCACACGCACACACCATTGTAGCCCTGCAACAATTGCAACAAGCTCGTCATTCACTCTGTATACCAAAATAATAAAATAAAGCATGTATGACATTTAATACAATAGATAATATATCAATTCAAGCAAAGAAACTGGAATGCGGCACGTTTTTAGGATAACTTTAGAGAAAAAACCGAGCAAATGCGAATGAGACTCGAGTGTTTGCAAGCAAAAAAATTTGTATGTTAATAGTGCACCCATCTTGAGATTCAATCATCGAAGATTTGTAGATTTTTCAAGATTTGTCAGCAAAGAATAAAGCTATTTTTACTGCATCAAATTTAAATTTCGTTAATTCTTCCTAAAATACAATTTGACTACCTTTAATTTCAAATATTTATTATAAACAGGTCAGACTTAACTACGAAAAATGTATAAGTAAAAAAAACCGTTTGAAGGTATTGAAATCACATTATATTGGCTTCGAATATATATACAATCGCGAATCTAACTAGCTGGTTAAAACTTTATCTCGTCACGTAGTTGAGTCGATTGATTAAAGATATAGTAAAATAAAAGCTCAAAGAGCGCACCGGCTTTCAAGCAATAAAAATTAATACGCCGCTGTAAAAACCACTTAAATGAACATGTCCATTTAAAATTATTCCTTTATAGAAATTTCATATCGTACGAAGTTATAACCAATTCAAAGGGGCTATAATCGTAAAATAGTCATAAAACAGCGTAGATAAGCCCGGTTACTCTCACAAAAGCGTAACATAAACCCGGACTAGGTGCGTACTTATTGCTGAAACAGAGCGTATTTATTGCGATTTACGATGCGATCACAACATTAGCAGGTCTAAACAAACTTCTGTGACATCATCACTTATGCGACAAACAGCATGTCACCATCCAAATTTAAGTAAAAAACAACAATTAACACCAAAAAGGTTTGTTTGTATTCAAATCTTGAAAAAAACTCCATAATAAATGTCATGTTTTACATTTGCACAGCATAACATAAGTCGAAACGATAGCTAGTTTAAATTTTTAAATAATACCAACATACATACTTTTACTGCACACTTTATGTTGAAAATTTTAAAACCTAAACGGAATGTACATTTCGTGCCAGTGTGCCATTCAGAAATCCATTATCGTGTTATCTATAGAACTGGGACGGTTTTATTTTATTACACACGCTTGTAACACCCGAATTCTACATTTTATGGTTTGCTATGACGAACAAGGTAGGCAAACGAACCAAAATAACAATATTTAGTATATATTTGTACTCGTAACAAAGTGATAAAGGCCTTTATTCCTCCAAAGAGGACTAGACCTAGTACTGATAGAAAGATAAAATTTATTACTACCAAATATTACATCAACGATCAGTAGGAAATACTGTTAGTGTCACAATAGGCGGTCTTATCACACGCTGCGATTAATTACAGACAAGTTTTGGATGAACAGATACACACAAAACGTTAATTTTTTTATTCTTTGTTAAGGAGGTTTTGTCCATAAAGGTAGATCAACTCAATTGCATTGCTCTAATCTGTTTTTGAATGGCTTTCGTAACTTTTGCTCAGATCGCAGATTACTAAGGTCACGATTCTAGACTTGATAGGTTTTGGTGATTCAATGAACTGGGACTGAAACTTCTACAAGTCTTTGACACAGGCTTATGTTCAGCTGCAGTCCTAACTAATGCTATAAATGCAAAAGGGGGCAAACACTTTGATAGATTTTTCAAACGGAGCTATACTTGTCGTGGACATAAGTAACGCGATTCAATACATAACACCATTATGAACTATAGGGCTGATCGACAGTTTAAAAAATAATTCTATTAAACTGATATTTTACATCGAGATGACATACGTATGCGATAATTAAATAAAGTTAAAAGTCACGCCTTAACAACTTGTCTTTAAAACGTAAAAAAACAATAGTTATCAGGATTGCCCCGTGTTGTTAGGGAATTGCATACATTCATTGATCTCAAATCGGTTATTAAAACAGTTTCTTGTAATAACTGAACATAAAATACATATTAGATTCATAACGTCAATTTCCAATAGAAACTATGTGACAAAGATACATCACTCCTAAGCCGACATTTTGTTTTCCAATTTTATTCCTATGAAGGAAATTACCAAAGTCACATACTTAGTCATCAAGTGTTATATGTTTTCGTACAAAACATTTCTTTTCGCGACAATATCACTATGTCCCCCAGCACTTTTCGAAAGTTTTAAGTAGCGTTGAAAACTTTTGCAAAAACAGCAACCCTATATAGAGCGGGCAGTTTATAGCGTCGCCGTTGCTGGCTTCACTGTGCCCTTTGATAACTCCTCGTAACTTTTTTATGAGGCGCGTGCTTATGTGAGCCTGGTACAAACGCTCTGGCATTTATTCGTCGCGACTGTGTATGAAAATTGCTTTGAAAATATCCTGTAACCCTAACTTACTAGTATTTTTAGTTTTAAGCTTGTTAAGCACACATTTCGTTGATATATCTATCAGACATTAACTAATCTGCTCCTAGTCCTACATTTTCATAAAACCAATCAAATGGCAAGTTTCACTGTACAACACACGATTATTACTTTACATTTATTAAACTAATTACTACACAATCACTGTGTGCCCTATTTACAATCTTCATTTCGTAGAATTCGTTTATAAATAAGTTAATAAACGACGTCATCGCCAAGATAGGTATTACGATTTAACTAGACGATTAAGCACCTATCAGTCTTGTTTACTAACAAACTGTTTCAACGCTTTGCACAGGTCACCTTCGGTATGTAGAGAGGGCATAGGCCATCGCTGGCCTACTTGGCTGAAGGCAAATTAAAAGAAAATCAGGAATATGTGCAGGTTTTTATCGAGATTATGGTGGTACAAAATGGTGATTAGTTGCAACCACGCTCAGCAACTCTGAAACCCCCTTTAGGGCGTCACGCTAACAACGCTATTAACTAACTCTAAAGTCATTCAATTCAATTCTTTATTAATATAGAAATAGTGTATAAGTTATACTTCTATAAAATGTTCCTTACATGTGATGTAATATAATAACATCTATATGATGTTATTTAAAAATTTAATTTAGTTTTCTAGTATTTAGAATAAAAACCTATTTATTCAGTTAATAAAATATTGTGTTTTTGAGCGTATAATCCACTTTCAGGAATACCGCAATAAATAAAAATGGGACTTAAAAAGTAGAAAATTCGTGGGCTGCTTTTTACAATTTTTTACTGTACTTTTAAGAATAGCTAGCCATGAAAAAATTGCATTATATTTTCTACTTTAAATTTTGGTTGGTTATAAAGTTTTTTAAACTATAATAATATCGGCCCTTGTAAAAATAAGGACTAGACTGTGGAAAAATACGTCAAAAGAAACCGTTACATAGATCGATCAATACTATTCAAGCTGTTGAAGGTGAAGCGTTTTTTTTTAAATTGTTTTGCAAACAACAATTCCACGCAATGATTTTTATACGAACATTGAAGCAAATAACATCCTTCTACGCGTATTCAAAGCAAATAACATTATGTATGGGCACTATATGGTATGTATGTGTAACTAATACGAGTATAAGTATTTTTGTTGTCACCATGAAAACTCGTGTGACCAACACTGCTTGGATTTTCACGCTTAATCTGTTCCACTTAGTAAAATACAAATATTTTATCGCTTTCTCTATGTATTTGAAAAGGCATTTTATGAAAATAATGATATTTTATATTTCAGACTTTTCACGCGGATTTACAATTTAATATTTTATTTCATACACTTGTATGAAAATAAAATATTAAATTGTAAATCCTACTATAATGTAGCGAGGGTTATATTTAAAAGAATCGGTCCGTATTGAAAGAAAGTTGATTTTAGGTTTGATACTTAATGATCCCATATAACACTAGAGATTCGATTATATTATTTATTACACCAACCAAATTCATATCCATTAGTAACCATATCTAACTATGCTAGGTAAATAAATATTCGGGAGTTGTCTAGTGTATTGCAGCCATTTTCACATAATCATCAATTTATATCTAAGATATTGTTCGATGTTAGGTGTTTGGTTTTCTTATTTTACATATAAATTTTAAGTATTCCTAAATTGAAATTCCTAAATTAACGTCCAAATAATTCTTGTATTTTCACGTATTAATACTCGTAGTACCAAGGGACTCAAAAAGTTTTGCGCCAAAGAGTATCTACGTGTAGAAAACTGACAGATTATACTTCAGTAAAAAAAAGATCATTTACGAAAAATCCTGTCCGAATGAATTCTATCTCCGGAACATTTTCTCGTCATAATGCGATGATAGATTTAAAAATTCGTAGCTTGACATATATATTTTATAATTAAATGTGAAAGAAATGAAAAGATTTTAAATTATAATTGTTTCTTTATATTAGCAATTGTATTGAATTGAACAGGATAAAAAAATGCCGACAATGTAGTACAATGTACTGGAAGAAAACATAGTTACAGGGTAATTTGTAAGTAACACGAGGAGTTAGGGTTTTCTATTTTTTCACATTAAATTAAAATAAATACGTAAATATATATCTCCAAATCGGTAGGCAGTATGGTACATCAACTTTCACATCTTTATTTCTATCGCACTTGTCTATAGTTCCATTCCATGTAGCTAATGGGTTCAATGGGAGAATCCAATGACAATTGCCCAATAGAATTCAGGGACTCAAACTCAAGGTGATCGAACGCAAACATTAAAGTCCAGAGGCATTTCATAAAGACTCAAATGGTTATATTTTTTTTATACTTTTTATATGGATAAAGATCTAAATAGAATTCCAAATACATACTTGGAAATACTCCTTTAAAAATGCCTCCTTTTAAAAACTTGACACATTAAGAATGTATGTGTGTAGGATTAAAAGGGGTTGTAACTATCACATTTAAAACACGTTTTAAAGGGTAACCAGGTCTGCATTTAGGTGAAAATTGGTTACAAACGCATCAGTAATTTATTTAATAGCCTTAGAACCTTCTTAGAACCAATTATGTTGG